AATATAATATATAATATAATGCTTTATACAAATTAAACAAGATATAATTTTATTAAAGACAGAAACCAAACATTATAAGTGTTTGTGTCTTTAACATTGTCTAGAACAGTTCTGCGTAGGTCAAGTTGGTAGATTGATTTATTGGCTGAATGACTGACTGAGAAGGATATTTGTGAAGCCATTATTCTTCAATTTACAAAGTAGTAAATTGGTTTCTTTTAGCATTTTGGATTTCCAGTAAAAAATTATTGAATGCTCAAACAATGTATTGAACAAAACTGTCAGGGTGAAAAATACCATCACATTGTTACACTGTTGTCAGTTGATTTCCTAGACTGAATTATGGGATGTGTGAATAAACAGGGGTTTTGGGGAGTATAGGAAGGAACATATCAGAGGTTAGTATCCCCAGTTGTGGGAATACTGTCCCATTGAGTCAGCTCAGCTAAGAGGGTTAATGGTGCTAGCCTACAACCAGCTATAAAAACGTTGAACCAAGAGAATTATCATAAGTTTTTAGTGTTCCAAGAACTCATCTCCAAAGTTTAAAACAAAGTTGCCTTAACCTAAAGTGTAAGCTTTATGTTGCTGCTTTAGTTTCACCTATCTTTTCAGAAATTTCTTTAGGAATTTTGTTCTGCCTTTCTAGCTGTTGATGAAACTTTTTAAATGGCTGCTTTCTTATTTCCTCACAAAAAATTTCAGAAACTCTTAAATTCCCACCTAAAACACTGTTTCATATTGACTTTTTTATTTTCAAAGTTTCAACAAATATAGGCAAAGCATTCACATCTAACTTCTTTCATACTTTGTACCTTCAAAAGTTAGCATACTGCCTTGAAATGCAGCTGGTCATGATTGCAGAGAAAATTCTTTCATGAAACTTTTATCGAACACCTATTACGTGCCTATCAGTCTCCTAATATTCTTTATGTTTGATCATGGTTATAAGGTTCTCTCCAGCCAGTGTTCAGTTGGTTACTCAGGATGATTTCTCTACAATTTAGTTGTAATTCCAGATCAGTCCTGGGAGGTGGTTAGTGTAGCTTCCACCTACCCCTTCACCTTCTTGGATCCCACTCACCTAATACTCTTTAACTGGACCCGGATTTATGCAGTTCCAGGGGAAAAATCATCTATATCTGTTTCAGGGAGACAGAAACAATTTTACCTAATGGTTCCTTTTTTAATATATTATAATTAATTGTGCCTAAGTATCATTTTATATTTTCTTGTTTTTAAGTTGAGATATAATGAACATTTATTAGTTTCAGTTGTACCATATAACAATTCCATATTTATATATATTATAAAAGGAGGGTCCCCACCCTGTGGGCCATGGACAGGTACCATGGCCTGCTATGAACCAGGCCCCCAGCCAAGCTTGTCTGAGCTCCATTTCCTGTCTCCTCCCCCAACCCCCGCCAGGTGAGAGAGAACCAGGGAGGCTCTCCTGAGTTTCCTGCCCCACCCCACCATCCCTGGTGCCAAAAACATTGGGGACCACTGTAAAATAATCATCATAATAAGTTAACACCTGTCACCATACACAGTTTATAATTTTTCTCATTATGAGAATTTTTAATATAAGATTTATAGATAAGCTTTTTTAAAAAGATTGTATTTATTTATTTTTAGAGAGGGGGGAAGGGAGGGAGAAAGAGATGGAGAGAAGCATCAATGTGCAGTTGCTTCTCATCTGCCCCCAACTGGGGACCCCACAACCCAGGCATATGCCTCAACTGAGAATCAAACCAGCCACCCTTTGGTTAGCAGGCCGGCTCTCAATCCACTGAACCACACCAGCCAGGACTCATTATGAGAACTTAAGAAAGATATACTTTCTAGCAACTTTCATAAATGGAATATAGTATATTGTATCCCCATGACTTAACTGATTTTATACCTTTTGACTTCCTTCACCCATTTTACCCACCTCCCATCTCTACAACCACCAACCTGTTCTCTTAGATTCCACATGTGAGAGCATATGTTGTTCTTCTTTCTCTGTCTATTCTTTATAAAACTGGACCACAAGGGATGGATATACGTATTATACGGCAGTGTAGCAGAAGATGAGGTTGGCAAACCAACAGGGCCCAGAGCATTAGAGGCTCTTTTTCTTTTTTTTGCCAAGAAGTCAAAAGTTCTTCCTAAAGCAGAGCAGAGACTTTCATGACGAAGTCTAATGTGTATAAAAGCACCTGACTCTCTTCCTTTTCCCAGTAAGTTATAACATTCATGCTACCTGGGTGTTTCAGACTAAAAGACAAAAAATTAACAGGCTTTTCTTCTTGATAATTTATTAGGCTGAGTGCGTGTCCTGGCTACACGTGTGCACAATTTCCATCCATGGTTTTTCTTTTGTTTTGTTTTGCCTTATTTGATAACTTCAAACCATTCAAAAATGCTAGTTTTCTAATATGGCTCTTTCTTAGCTTAAAAGTTGGCTTCTTTACTTTTGTACTTTCTTCTGGGGCAAAGAAAAGTTGTCCAAATCATCAGGTTCCTCCTAACTTGAATCGGGCAAGAAGACTTCAGTGTAGGAGAGTTATGTCACAGAACAAATGAAGTCACTTATATTAAAACATGTGATAATTTTTAGTCAAGCTAAAAATAGATTATAATTTATGCTTGTATGTGGTGTCTTAGGTAAAAGAATATTGGATATAAACCAGTAGTAGGATGTCATTTTTAATTAATGCCTTATCTTAAAATACCACTTTCTTACTTTGTTCAATGTTCATGCTCCTAGAAGCTTCATAACGTTTACAAAACTGGAATGGGGGGAGGAATGTTTTATTAGAGGCAGTTTTTCCATAGAGTATCTGAGCATCATTCTTAGCTTACTCTGTGAATAGTATGCGAAACTCAATAGTCTCTATTTAAACACAGCCCTGAAAAGTACTCTGCCTTCAGCCTTCATTTCAGCAGGGTTTCTTTACATGCAGAGATATAGTCAGCAAGAAAAACAGAGCTTCATCAACATTTGCTCTTAAAACTGACTTAAGAAGGTCAGGTAATTCTACATAATAGAAATACAGTAGAGAACTTGTTGGATATTCTGTTAAATAAATTTTCTTATCTCCTTGTTCTTAACAAAAGATGATTCCCTTTGACTTACTATTATGAAAATCCTTATGAAGAATTGTTAAGAAATCTACAAACAGAGCAAAGACTGAAATGCTTGTGCTCACTCCTTGCTCTGGGTGGTGGCTCACGTCACAGTGGTGTTTGTGACCCTAGCCCTCCCAAGGGGCTCAAAGCACTTTTCCATTTTTGCATTCTGACCCCCCACCTCCTCCCTGTTCTTGTTCATATTCTTTCTCCTCCAAGGCAAGACTGTATTGCCATAAAAAATAAGTTGGATATATGAATGTATAGATAGATAAATACAAGTGCAATAAACCAAGCATAGTAATTTGTTGAGGGCAGCATCTAGGCGGAGTTTGTAGGGGTGTTCATTCTTTCAGCTTTGCCATGTGCTTGAAAATTATCATAAATCTCTTCTGAATGGTTATCCACAGGGGTTGGGTGATAGAGGCTTTCACTTACTCTGAGTTTATACTTTTAACAATTACATTATTAGAGAAAAATGAAAATAATTCTTTTTGGAGCTACATGAAATTATCTTCACAAATGGAGTCACCACGCTATTGATTTAAAAGCTCTGCATGTTTGAAATTCACATTCAGCCATGCTAAGTAATGGAGAATGTGCACAACAATTCAGCTGCATGATGGTGACCACACCAGTGTAATAGGAAATTTACTACACAAGTACGATATATCCAGTGAATGAAATACTATGTAACTATTAAAGTGTGTAGTATAAAAACAAATGCATAGACCTGGAATGATTTCTAGTATTTATGTGCCTTCTAAAAAAGTCTGAATTTATGGGCATGAATAGAAGAACATATATAAAAATATACCTCTGACTTATGAGAGCATGGGACTTTTTCTCTTATATAGATTTTTATCCATATTTTCTATTCTTTCCTACAATAAAAATTTCACAGTGTTCTTATTTTAGCAACATTAGAAAGGAGAAAAACAGAAAAGAGAAGAACAGAAAAAAACATGCTATTTTTCTATGAAAATGGGGCAGGGAAACCTTGGTATCTGTAAATAATATTTGATCAAGTGAAAAAGATTATCTGGGTTTTTAATCTGTATCACTGAAATCTGCTCTCTTACATTTTCTTACTCTTGCTCTTACAACAAAATACATTTGAAACATGTAAAAACAAATAATTTCATTCATTCTTCTGAAGATATATTCAGGGGCTTGACTAATGACTTTTGAAAGTTCAGATGTTTTCATGCTGTTAGGCCCAAGGCATTTCATACTTGGAAATGCCTATCTTTAATCTCTAATTGCATTAAATTTCTGTGTCTGACTCATGAGGAAAAAGCTTCAAAGCAGAAATGAGAAAATCCATTTTCTCTCTTAATATAATAACCATTGATATATTTCAATGTGATGCCTATGTTCCAAATATCCTAACCAGGAGAATTGATATTAAGGATAGGCCAGTTAAAATTTTTAAAGTTTTTATTTATTATAGATCTCATTTCCCTTAGGAGGCTGAAGCAATGTGCTAAAATTAGATAATTCTTACAATAGGTCTCTGAGAGGCACAGAGCAAAGAGACCATTGCTGTTTTCATTTCATCCAATAAATATTTATTGAACAGTTACTTTGTGACTCTGAACTTAATGTTTCATTTACTGTTTTCTCTCTTTACAAGACATTTTTTATAGATTTTCCGCCAGTGGCTATTGAAAGAACAGTTAGATATGACTAAAAGTAAAAGTAAGCAAATTAGAGTTTATTTCTGGGTTCCAGGACTCTAGTCTTCTCACAGCAGGCGATATGGAATTTGTAATTCATTTATTTATTCATCCCTTTTCCTGGATGCTAGCAGTCTATTCTACAAGGACCTTCTCAGTCCTGCCCAATACGTGTTTCATTTCTCCCTCTCTCATCTTTCCCAGGTAAAATGTCCAGTGACCGAGCTTTGAGGAAGCAGCAGCAGCTAAACAACCTTGTGTACATGGTGGCAAATCAGGCCAAGCCTGGTGACAGAATTGTGGATTTCTGCAGCGGTGGGGTATGATATCTCTCCATATTCTCTTTAGCTTTTCCAAGACTGTGTGACTTTATATTACATTCAAGGCCATGCTTTTACTTGGCAAGATCGTTGTCTCAGAAATCACAGACACCTTAGGGACCACCTTTAACTTGTTTCCTTTTCTGCTTCCTCCAGGGCCATGTTGGGATTGTGCTTGCTCATACGCTGCCGTTATGCCAGGTAAAGTCTGGTTCGTAGATGAAAGAGAACATTGGAAAACTGCGTGATTCAGTTAGCTGACTCTGGCTTACCCCTGCTCTCTGAGTTTGTGATCGTTGCCAGGTCACCTACGTGGGATGCACATTTTCTTTTTTCTTTGAAATAAATTTCTAAGATTCAGAATCGTAAGAAAAAAATGTAAAGCAGGATCACAATAATTTTCAACTTTTATAAGAGTTATATTTTAAAATAATTTTAAAAGTAAATCACCATTCCACTGCTAAATAGAATAATGATAAAACCAGTTTAATTTTCAACATATTTTACACTAGAAATTCTGGCTACTGAAACTTGTTGAGCATATTCCTTCAGTAACCTCATTTTTATTCATTGCATCAAAATTATAACAACAATAACAAAATTTTAAAAAAACTTACCACACTGATCAATCAAATGACTTTCTTTCTGTGTTCTCACTGTCATTGCCCTTGAGAACACTTATTGTTGCAAATTCTAAAAGTGTGAATAAGTTTTAGTTTTCTGCTTTCAGTCAAGATTGTATCATAAGTGTTGTAAATATTTTCATTAAAACATCACTTAAATATGACCACATAATATGTTTTCAAGGAAGTGCACCATAATTAATGCAATCATTGCCACCATGTATTAGAACTTTGTGCTATTTTTAGTCTTCTGCCATATTACATCATTTTTTTCACAGTGACCTTTAAACATAAAAGTCTAGAATTTGATGTCTTTTTTTTTCAAAAAAATTACCATTGAACTTGGGCACATTCTTTGCCTCTCAAAGATGCAAAATAATTACAGTATGACTCCACTCCAAGGAGAAAAATGTGGAAGAACTCAGAGACCAGTGCAAATGATGTGCCACAGAACGATGGCACTTGGAGGGATGCTATTACTCTTTTACCTTCTTAGAAAATAAGGAGTCAAATAAATAAGGACTCCTGGGAGAAACAGACAGGTGTCTGTTTTATTATTTAGAAAAGCAACAGTAGTGTGGTTGGAGGAAGAGGAAGAAAGCGCACAGACTAGAATCCCGGAGAAACAGCATCAGGGACATGCCGTCTGTTCTCCCTTTCCTAACAGTTACCCTGGAAACGGATATTCAGACTGGAAAGGGGAAGTCTTGGCTAAAATAAAGAGGGGAGAACCTTTGACACCAAGTACACTTGGACAGGCTTTTTTATACAAAGGGACCCAGGATTTTTCTATAAAGTTAAGCATGAGGACAAAATTGGGGTAGAACTAGGAAGATAGTGATGAAGTGACTTAGTACAGACCACTTTTCTCCATCCAAACCAATGATCTTTTCCAATCTGCCTTGGCCTAGATTATTGGAGAGACTCCTAAAGGTTGCACTGCCTTCTGCCTCACCCCCACCAATCCATACTATACATTGCAGCATGAAACTTCTCCCATCCCCCCATGATCTGGCTCCTTTTGCCTCTCCAGCCTGGTGTCCACCTTCTACACCTTGCCCCCCACTCCCCACCATCACCATCACGTACTGTGCCCCAACCATACCTATTTTTTCAGTTCTTTAAACACACAGTACATTTCCCACCTTGAGCCTTCATATATGTTTCTCTCTTTGCCTGAAACACTCCTTCAGTGCCCCAGCTAATTTCTACTGTGTTCAAGCCTCAGTTAATAGGTTACTTTTCCACATTAATTGAATAAAACCTGCTTTAGTCATCAAGTTTAGGTGCTCTATAACATATTATATCTCTTTCATTAAGTTCTTATCACTGTATTATAATTGCTGGCTTCACTTACATCACTACAACTATAAGCTTTCAAGAGTTCAAGGACCTTGTTCATTGTTGTACCATATTATCTGACATACTCCTCGGCACAGGTTAGGGGGTCAATGTAATATATTCTATATTATTAAAGCTATGAAATACAGTAGTAATACTTTGCCCTAATGTCTGAATCATTTTCCTGAATATGCTTTGTTTCCTTGGTGAAATCTAGGTCACATTAATAGAAAACAAGGAATTATCATTAATTCGTGCTAAGAGAAGAAGTGATGAGCTAGGTCTAAGCAACATTTGGTTTATTCAAGCAAATATGGAGTATTTTATAGGAATGTTTAATATTGGGGTAAGTAATGAGCAATTTCAATTTACTTGGTTAAATAAGTAAGAAAAATTATATGCCTTAGATAGCAGGGGTGTCCAACCTGCGGCCATGGACCACAGTTTAGCCCAGGATCCCTGAGATGTGGCTCAACAAAAAATTCTAAACTTACTTAAAACATTATGAGATTTTTTTGTGATTGTGTGTCACAGTGTATTTAATGTGTGGCCCAGTACAACTCTTCTTCTCCCAGTGTGGCCCAGAGTCACCAAAAGGTTAGACACCCCTGAAAAGAATACTTCTATATTCTCTTCTAAACAAAGAAATTTATAATTTTTGTTTTCTGTTATCTATAGAGCACAGCATACCAGTGATATTATTTTATTTATAAAAATTTGCCATTACATGACAGAGATGACATTTGTGCCTCAACTACACAAGAACTTTATTTTCCTCACTGCAGCATCCCCTGTTCCTAAACACAATGTTCGACCCACAGCAAGTGCCTAAAATATAGCTATTCATTGAATGAGTGAATGAACGAATGCTAATGAAGATGACTTCTCTTGATTTATTCTACATTTTCAAGAGATAATGAAAGAAAAGAAAAACAAAAGAAGATAATGAAAAACACAGATTAGTAATGTGTAGATACCAGAGTTACCATTAGGTAATATTTACTTTTGCTAGGATTTGATATCTGCATGTATTTGTAGCTTCTAAGAGACAGAAAATGTATTAATGTTCCTATAACCTTAAAACCAAAGTAGTATTATTTGACATTACTAAAAAGACCTAAGATGCATGATTCTGCAGCTCATTTAAACACAAGATTGTGTGCTATGGTGGAATTTGAGTTTCACCAAGACATCAATGTTGTTGCTGTCTCTTCCTTGTATTTGTTTTAAATCATTTTCCTGATTATTATAGGACTATATGCTCAATAGAGAGAAACACATAATAATATTAAGAAGAACCACCAATACTTTCATTACCAAGAAATGAATAGGGGGATACCTGCCCAAAATCTTTGCTCTTCAGATATTTACGCACACATACAAATACATACTTACACACATGTTAACATCACTGAGATTATACTATATTGATCCTGCTTTAATTCACAAATCTTTTCCCTAGCAATTAATCATTTCCTTTTTTCATGTCATTACAGTGTAATTGTTACAATACACTGGTATATATCTTACGCATCAAGATGTTTAAGACTTTTAATACATTTGCCAAATCACTTTCCAGGAAGGTTGTGCTGTTCCGCATGCTCAGCTGCATATGTTCACATAACACACACAGTAGGCTTCTCTAGCTGGAACTCTTGTCCAGGTTCAGAAGCTCAGACTTTTTGTAGTACTTACGATTTTTTTCCAATGAAGGTAATTTCTGAAGTATCAACTGTTGGAAATTTCTGGGGTGTCTTACTAGTTTTTACAACCTGAAAAGTCCTTTGTAGACATGATCTAGATTGGTTCTTTCAAGCCCATGAAAAGAAAAGTAAACTTTAAGAAAACTGTTAATGAGGTAATTCTTCAGAAGGAAAGTGTAGACATCTAATCCAGTAAACTCAAGTTAAATATATATCTGTGTGCAGCTTAAGTTGTACAGAAACATGGCGGCAAAGAGTAAAGCTTCCCCCATTAAATGAGTCCCTGAGACAGTGCCTGTGTCACAGGACACCCCGGGCAGGATGCATAAGGTAGCACAGCATTGCTGCCTGTTTACTCACCTCTCAGATCACAAAATCCCAAGTTTATAACCATATGTGTCTTCTTCTTTCTGTGATTTACAGATAGTAAATCACTGTGGCATGTTCTTGTAAACTTCAAAGTCATAATTTACTAACAGCACCTAAAATGTAAATGGTCTTTTGGAAGTGATATTGTCTCTACATTTCATAATAATATATCTATAATTTCTTTTACTTTCATAATTACCTTTGTCCAGATATATAGAAAATGATTTAAAATAACTTGGAGGAGCATCAAACCAAAATTAGATTTACTGTCAAGAAAATGATGTGCCCTGGGACAATAACTGAGGTATTGTCACTGGATAAATCATGCTGAGTGCATCAGTGACTCCAGCTGTTGTACTGAATAGGTTCTAATGAAAGTAGTGCAGCTAGAGAGGAAATCAGAATAGGCAGGTGTTGGAAATGCATTAAAACTGCATTAATCTCTGATTTTGTGATATTCCAAATAAGGGTTTAGATGGCAATTATGTTTATTTAGTAAATGCTTTTTTCTCTTCCTCTTTTGGTTTAGATATAAAAATTAATGGTGTAAATATGATTTTAAGGAGGGAATTTTAAAAGTCTTAGATCCAACTATCTTTAGGAATTGTAAACAAATAACTTATATATAAGACAAAAATACTAATTACTACTTGTGTCTCCATTAGTACAACAAACCATATCAGGCAAAAATGGATAGATTTACTAATTTTGTTAAACTAGTTTATTTGAAATAATGAAAGAAATGTAAACATTTTCTGATCTTTCCACAATGTTTTCCAATACCCCCACCTAATGTGCCTCCCTCTTATAATGAGAATCAATAAGGTAATAACTGTGTTTGTTCCAAACAGTCCCTTTGTAGTTTCTGATTTACACTGTGCTTATTTGAGAAATATATTTCTTTAGAAATACAAATTCTTAATAAGCCTATAAAAACATTCAAAGTCTCTAGTAACCAGATACATTTTAATGTGTTTTTTTAAATATTTATTTATTTGTTTATTTGTTTGTTTGTTTGTTTGTTTGTTTATCTGGGGAGGGGAGAGAGACAGGGAAAGAAACACGAATGTGAGAGGAAAACATAGATTGGTTGCCTTCCAATGTGCCCCCACTGGGGACTGAACCTGCAACCAGGCATGTGCCCTGGCCAGAGACCTTTGCTTTGCAGGAGGATGCCCAACTGAGCCACACTGGTCTGACCCAAATCCATTTCAATTCGAATAGCAATATTTCATTTTTGCTCTAAAATTTGCAAAGATTTTTGAAATATTGTTACCTATTGACTACAAGGTTTCAGTGAGATGGACTTAATTATACAATAGCTTTGAAAATTTTCATTTATATGATATTTGCAATGATTTGCTAAAGATATGAAAAATTAGTTACAATACTAAATAAAATAATGAAAGATGCAAGATGGCAGAAAAATAGGTAGAAGCTACACTAACCTCCTCCTGGGACCAAACTGGAATTACAACAATTATAGAAAAATCATCCTGAATAAACAACTGAGCACTAGCTGGAAAGAAGCCTTATAACCAAGGACAGATGGCAGAGACCACGCCACCACCGTGAGACTGGTAGAAAGTGTGAAGGTACAAGAAGGCTGGCAGGACTCCCATAGGTGGCAGCTGAAGTTCCAAAGGGATATTTCAGCAGCCCGGGGGACTCCCCCTGAGAAGAATAAGGTCTAAACCCCAAGTTGGGGTTCCCAGCCTAAAGCATCAAACCAGAAAAGGAACATAAATACCATCCGGCTATGAAAAGTAGTGGGGTTTCTGTCCAGCAGGGAGAGATGGCTAGATATGTAGAGAGCCTCTTAAAGGGCCAACAGATAATTTTCGTTGTAGCCACTTACCCTGGGCTCTAGCACAGTGAGGGCAGAGCAGACTAGAGACCCATGAGGAGAATCTGGGGAGAGAGCTGAAGGGCCAGCTGCCAGGACCTCTATGATAAGTCCTTCCCCATACTGCAGAAGCCATCTTTCTTGGGCAAAGCACTTCCTTCCATGCAGCATCAGCACTAGAGGGAGCAATAACCCCAATTGCAGTAGTCTTTTTTTGCCCTACATGATGAAGCTTAAGCCAGGCTGCTGAGGAGTAATGCTAGAGACTGAGTCAGTGATTAAGTATAACAGGAAGTCTGCTGGTGTGGGTGGATCTCCTGGAGCTTTGAGATTTTAGCTGATGCTCCCCCAACCACAGTGCAAGTAAAAGCTGGCCTTGGCGCATAGCCTGGTCCTTTCTACACACAAACAGCTACTTACTGGCTGTATGACCTTGGGCAACTAACTAGTCCTAGTATTTCCATCTATTAAATGGAAATACATGGTTCATAACATGTTGATACCATATATGTGATGCACTTAGCAGGTTGTCTGGAACATAGGAAATACTCAGTTTGTTGAGCCTCTTCTCTTCTTACTCTGCAGTGTGTTATCAGCCATGTAAAAACTGCAATGTAAGGATGGAAAGAAATTTTGCTAATATGTATTTTTTAAAGGTGGCTAGCTCTATATACTGTATAATAATGTTGTTCTTTATTATTTTTAGTATTCTCAAAATATCCCAAATTTAATGTTATTACTTTTATATTCATAATAATATAAACAAGAGAGAAGAAATAAATATTTATGTTTAATATTTTATAGTTAGCTTATTTAGCAAAAAAAGGCTAATAGGGTCAGAAAGATTACTATGATATATCTAAAAGAATTCTGCACATATAAGATATATGTACACTATTTAAATATTATATGTGTGATTTCTTTCAAAACAACTATTTGATTATAAGTACCTTTTAATTGATTTATTCTGATTTTGATTATAATGACTCTTAATGTCCTGAGAAAAATATAAAATGCTTTCGAAAGTAGAATTTATCCAAGAAGGTTTTTTCATTTCAGCTTCAATATATGCAGCTGTATGACAATGAATTGTGTTTTATACATTGAATGTTTGTATCTGCCCTCCCACAGAAAACTCTCAACAAAGTGGATATAGAGGGAACAGATCTCAACATAATAAACACCTTTTATAACAAATAACAAACATCATACTCAGTGGTGAAAAACTAAAAGCTTTTCCTCTAAAATCGGAAACAAAACAAAAATGCCCACTCTTTTTAAAATATTTTATTTATTTATTTTTAGATAGGGGAAAGGAGGGAGAAGGACAGGGAGAGAAACATGAATGTGAGAGAGAAACATCAGTTGGTTGCCTCTTGTACATGCCCTATTCAGGGACCAAACCCACACCCTAGGCTGAGAATCAAA